AGTTATTTGTAGAACTACACATTCTACCAGCAAACATGCTTTTTTCAAACATGTCTGCCACTTATTCTGCCGGTGGGAGAGATTTAGATAGCCATTATGTTGATGCTCACCCCTCCCCCAACTACTGAACTACCTCTTTTAACAGGCAATCCTTTGCTCTTGCTGGCCAGTTTGTAATGAAGCAAACTTGTCAGTAAGTAGGGCAAAAGTATTTCACTTACCTTGGAAGCAGGATGGAGCAAGTTAGTTTTACTGGAATCAGAACTACTCATAGCAAGTCTTCACAAGTGAATTATTACAGCACAGCAAAAGTTGTGGATTAGGATTTGTCACTGATTTTATAAGAAAGTTTTAACTCTACAGCTTATATTAGAATCAATCAGTAGAGAAACAAAACTTCTTTATATCCCCCACCTTCCATCTAACAATTTCATGCCTTTCCAGGTCACCAAAAAAATTGGCACTCTAAGGTGGCTTATTTACACTTATTAATGGTTAAGTCATTGGTTAATTCATGCATACAATTAATTGATGAATCTGATCAAGAATTCTCAGCCCCAGAAAACATTTTGTTCGCTAAACGCCAAATTATATAAGCTGTGTCATAGCTGGTAGTAGCATTTGATTGACCTTGTTCAGGCTCAGAAGTAACGCCTGGTTAGGAATTGGATGGCGATCACCAAGTGATCCAAGGCTGTAGATTAGACTGGGAAGTTCAAAAACAATCCAGAAGAGAATGGCAAATCACTTTCATTCTGAAGCCAAACAAATTGACAACTGCATCCATGTAGTGAGCTCAAGGTCATCTACATGTTTACCTTTTTATAAGTAGCACAATATTTCTGAAAGATACTTAAGTTTTGAGAAATATCTCAACACCCATAGCAAAAAGATAGAGGTGCTGATACTGTTTCAGTTCCCTTAACACACCTATGTAACTTTTTTTCTACTTGTGATTTATTTAAAAATGTGAGAAGGATAGAGAATAGCTAGTAAGTCATTTATAAACAAGCAGTGGACAGAGTTGATTTCAGCTAAGTAGCAGTATTTTAATACAGCAGATTTGGGATTTTATAAGTTCTTTTAGATTTCTCATGTACTGATTAAAACATACTATTTCAGCAAAGATTTATTAATAAAATCCTTTCATGATACTATCACTCTTGATCAAAACATAGTTCAGAATTCAACCCAAGATCCCTCTATAAAGTGAAGCACTTCTATAGAAATACATTTTATATATACACAGTATCAGGACTCAGTTCCATTACAAACTATCAGAAGCAAAACATGAACACTTTAGTCTAGCTTCTCTCTTCAAATCAGCATTGTCTTTTGCTGTAGCTTTCTATTTTCAACAGTTCCTTTCTACAAGGAAAACTGCTAAGAAATCCATGTCAGTAGATCCATCCATAGCACAGAAGATTGCAGAGCAAGTTATATGTGCTTAATGTCATTTGAATATACTTAGCTCTTCCTAGAAAACTGATGACATTTCCCTGTAATTGTTGAACTCAATGAAAGTCTGGGTGCGGTGGGCAAGGTAGCTTTTAGCTGAGTTTGCACACAGGTAGTCCTCACTTACTGACTGCAATTGGGACTGGCAACTCCATCGCTAAGCAACACAGTCGTAAAGTGAAAAATCACTCTTCTACAAAGTAGCCGTAAAACAATTGAGCTAGAAATCATCAGCAGATTTAACACTATATTTGAGCAATTAAACAGAAACCAAGATTTCTGGTTACTCAATGGTTACTAAACAACTTATAAATGCATGCATATTTGCATTATAACCAACAAATGCTGTCAATGATTGTTCTATTCCTGCCCAATCTCTTTACTCTTTCCCAGTCCCTCCCTATTAGCAGTAGGTGGCTGCTTACAGGTTTTGTGTGCCTCTCCCTCAGGAAGTACACTGTACCTCTGATGAAATAGACTTTTATCCACAAGGGCTATGCAGTAATACTTTTGCTTGCTTGAAAGGTCCTAAAGAGTCCTGTAGAAGATTAAAAAGTACTTTTGTGGCAACTATTTCAAATCTATTTTTAAAACAACAGGATAAAAATTCAAACAGATACCATAAGATCTCTAATATTTTTCTACGTATAACCTATACAAAAATATACTGTATATGGTTTACAAGTTACTTTAATGTCAAAGAACTTAGATCTGCAATAAACAGCATCCTCTAGTGGATACTTAAGTGTTGCAATTTGAAAGTTTCTTTCATGAATACCTTCTTAAACCAGATGCTTATTATGTTTCCCTTTTGAGGTATGGGGTGGAGAAAAAGGGAGACCACTAAAAGTGCTGCTTATCCGAACACTTGCTGGTCTTCTTCCTCTGTGCCTTTATGAGATGAATGGCAGGATGACTCTTTAAACTCTTTGGGCAAGAAACATATTAACTATTAATCTGGAAACAAATCATGAAGAAGGCAGACATTTCAATCAGAATGTACCATAAAAGATTAAAAACATTCTAGAGTATCTTCTGTCCTAGAATAAATTAAAACATTTAGTTTTTTTAAAACACCCTATCAAGTTTTCCTAAGTAGGCATGACCACTTTGTGAGCCAATCAACAGCTCAGCAGGGAAGCCTCTTGTAAGCTATCAGGCGTAATTCAAAATGCTACCCTAAACCCAGAAGTGATCATTTTTATTTTTGTTTTAAGGATCTGTTCTGGTGATAACCATTTTAGTTATCATGGCAACCAATCCCGGAAATGAATGTATAGCTAAAACCATTTCATAGCACACTTTTCAATCCACTGAGGCTTAGACAATTAGCCTCTGATGCAGGATTTAAGATGATAGCTCATGTCCAAGGCCTTAGCTAGAGTCATTTCCAATTGACAAGTGGTGAAGAGTGTGTGCGGGCATATGTATGCAAATATGTAAGCATGTCCATCTCAGGTAAATCAGTGACCAGGACAAGTGTGCCAGCAAATTCACCCCAAATCCCTGCTGTACTTCAAGTATCAAAGGAAGGAAAGCCTTGCTTACCCCCTTACATCAGTGCCCTGCCTTTCAAATAAGGCCAAGTTGAATGACAACAGCATTTATCTCAGATCATCTTAGCTTATCTCTTATTTGAACTGAGAAGTAGCAAAAAGAAATAATTCTATTCTGAAGTTAAAATGTTATTCAACTGAAGTAGAAGAGGGTCAATGGTGGCCATCTCAATTTTTTATTGCCCGTGCAAATAAAAATATTGGGATTTGTCTGTAATATAGAAAGTTAATGGTATGTTAATACCATCAATTCAAACACTGGTTTGGCATTCATCTTTCAGAAGTGAGACAAAAACTATATTTGATGCCATGCTTGAAGAATGCTTGATGCACAATAGAGTTAATTTTGTTTCAAGGACAAAACCCAGTTCTACCTCTATAACATTTCATATACAGAGCAAGGATTTGAAAAACTGATCCACTTCAATTTGAACATTTCAGCTGGGGCAGGGGGGAGAGTTTCAATGATGCACAAAATCTACCCAAAGCATCTGATCTGACATTTGAAATTACTTTGATAACTTCAATTTGGTGCTTTGCTGCTCCAGTTCTGAACTTTAATGGAAGCTTATTTGAATTTAACCCTTTTAGTACATCCTATAATGGATGAGGGAATGGATAAAATATACAATTTAATATTTGCCTTGGAGTTACATTAAAAAAGAGTTCCATATTTTGTGAAGTCAAAGATTTGCAAGTATTTTGAAAAGGACTACAAACAAATAAAGCCTTGCAAACTCAGCTTTGCAACTGATCCATAACACAAATTCTTCCTCGAGCTCTGCCTGTTAGATGACCATATTAATGAAGTCACACTACAGCACCATAAAGTATGTTTTTCACTTGTTCAAAGCCCCAAATATATCCATATTATAGCAGCCTATTAACTGAAGAACCTACCCCAGCAAAGCTGGCTTGGGAGACCTTATCAGTATCTACAAATTCCCATCTGTATCTGCTCTTGATGAGGTCTTTTTTTTTTTTTTTTACAGTCTTACTGCATTACACTTAGTTTCTTCCATGCCATCAGTGTTTGGATTTTCTTGGTGCTGGGCTTCTTTGTCACATGCACTGTTTGGGTAAGATGGTGGAACTGCCAGAAGTTTGGCACTTTCATTTCAGTACTAGTTTCTGACCTGATTTCAATATCTGTGGTGTTTTCGTCAAGGCAAAAACTTCTACATTTTGAAAGCTAGAAAGAAAACTGGCCAGAAATACGGTCTCAGTGCTTCATTGCTATCTTTTCAAGGGCCAACATCATCAGGAATTCTAACTGCATGCTTCTCATTATACCATGTATTTTTATTTGGTCTATACAGCACACAAAACACCTTACAACCACTGATATATCCCAACAGATGTCAAGCTTTCAAGGAATTTTATAAGGAGTTGATAATCCTTAACATCTTTATGGCTACTTGTCCTATTTGGTAGGAGTTATCCTGAAAGCAAGCAATAGCTTTTCGCTCTCTAGAGAAGCACTAACATTGCAGGTTAGAAGAGCAGGTGAAACTGTTTGGAGATGAAGGGGGTTCCATTAGGTGGACAAGAATTTGCATGGCTTGTAGTTACTATTCCAGAACAATAGCTGGGGAGCAATTAGCATTTGGAGCAATATGCAGATTCTACTGGAACTGGCTTCCATATACTCATCAACCAGCAGGTTAATAGTTAAGTCATACCTCCTAGCTTAGGATTTATTTTGAACTTGTGGCAAATAAAAACTTGATAGGAGTATAACAACTTCCAAGAGAAATACTGCATTCAACACTTGTCAAGATATAAAAATAACACATTCAACTATAAGCATCCATCTAAGAAATTTCAGGCTTCCTCTATGGCACCATTTGCTGCCTCTGTTCAGCGCAGCATTCCAAGACATTTTTCTAATTCTTCCTGTAAAGCAACATGACCTGAGATTTCTACCAACAGAGCCTATTATCATCCCCTGCAGAAGCAAGGGAACAGTCAAAAGGTAGTAGTCAGCACTTAAAACACAGAGTGTGCTTGACTAGACATCTGGCTGTTCAAATTGTGGTATCCTGGGGAGAGTGGGAATATATGTGCTTATAAAAAAACACCCCCCCCAAAGAACGGATAGATAATTTGGGTGGTGCTTTTGAGTGGGGGGGGGAGATCTCTCAATTTCCCCACCCCACCCCAGGTAAAGAGACAAATACCACATTGTAACAAATAACCTTCCACTCTTCATTTAAACAATGAACCTGGAAAAACTTCAAGCAACTCAGGGACAAATTGTGCAGTTTGAAGTAGGGAGAAAAAGCTATCAAATTAAATCAGATGTAGGGAATTGCTTCAAACAATAACAAAGAACAAAAGACTTTTTTTTTCTAAAAATGTTTTTTTACACATTTTCCAGCTATTTATAAAACAGCAACTGAATACCAATAAAGTCTGAACCAAAGGAATGTACTTCAGAAAAAACACACACATTAAAATAAGTGTTTGTATTAATGCAGGATGCCCATGTGTTATTGTGTCACTGTTAATCTTTTCACCTGATTTTTAAAAACTTAAAAACGCTCTTCACCGGCCCCTAGGTCCATGAGACAATATTGCATTTAGAAGAGAAGCGCTCCCATGCTGCCAACTTCACTCTGCTCTTTTACAAAGATTTCAAAGTATTGGTAAATGATGGTGACAGCCAACAAGATTCCTGTGCCTGATCCAATTGCCCCAAGGAAGTCTGCCAGCACAGAGAGGGCACCAATGCAGAGGCCACCAAAGGCGGCAGCTGTTGGGATGTATCTGAAAAGGGAGGAGCAAAGAAATACAAGTAAGGGCAAAAGATTGAAGGGAAATTGTCTACTGCTGTAACAATTGCAGAAAATATGTAAGAAACTATAGCCCAGCCACTTTCTACAAGGCCAGACCTTCTCAGCTTCTCTCTTTCTACACATTTCACAATTGCATCTCAAAGAAAGCCACCTACTAAGTCCCACTTAATGTAATTTTTAAGACTGCATGCAAGTATTATGGTGCACAGACACACCCTTATCTAAAGATTCCACAAACTTTAAAGCTACACTATATTATCTTATTGGCACAAAGAAATAGCATTCCCATATTCAATTAATATACAATCCAGGCTGCATGTTATTTTTTATTTGTGTGTCACATATGTTATTAGAAACAATGAGAAAACTATGAAGGCAATTCTTTGTTTCTTTTAACCTCAGAATCAGTAGTGAAAACGTCTGCCTTTTTTGAATAAGCAAACCATGAGGGTTATTGCCTTTGCCTTCCCAAATATAAAGCAAGCATTCTCAGGAATGTTATGGATAAAACTTTCTAAGGCTAGAACAAGGCTAGAGCACAGCAAGGCCATTAAATCTGCAAGATAGTTTATTTCCAGTTCTGCTCCTCTGAAGTAAATGAAATCCCAAACAGCAATACAGATTATAATAACCCTGCAGATTTATAACTCACCTGTTGAGTTCATGAACCATGGAGGTTTCTCTATGACCCCTCATAACCATCTGCTGCTCTTTCAACTGTTTAGCAACCTGTATTCCAAAAGAAGTCATTTTTTAACATTTCCTGAAGAGAACCAGTAAGCTCAGTTGCTACAAAAATGCAAGAATCTTAGTAGTTCTTAAAATCAGGAACACTACAAGGATATGGTGACTAAAAAAAAAGATGTACAAAAAAACTCATGTAAGGCATAGTGCCAACTTCTCAAGTAACCCCAGATAATAACTTCTAGAACGAAATGAGCTATAAACATTTATAAAGTCATACACGAAAGAGGCTTCTGATGTCCTATAGACAATGGATGGCTGTAGAATAAGCATAGCCAGGCGTTTATTTCACCCAAGATTTTGGGGGTGGGGGGGTGGGGTGGAGTAGGTTTTGATATTAAGTAACCTGGGTTAAGCCTATTTTCTGGCATATGCTTAGTTTTTATTTGCTTCCCTCCATATGAAATCTTCAGCAACTGTAACTGGAGGCCTTTGGAGCTTCAGGGGATCTGGGACTTCAGGTCGCTCATCCCAGTTACAAATGCTTTGCCTATGCTGTTTCATGACTTTTATTTCTTTAAGTTAAGCCTGATAACTATATTTTTTTTAACCACAGGATTAAAGAGGGGGAACTATCATAAGTAAAAGTTTAAATTAGTCATGGTTTGCTTGAATCAGAGTACAGGCAACAGATCCCAGATTCAATCCATGGCATCTCCAGATGCACAGGGAAAAGTGCCTGGAGTGTCACTGTCAGTCACTAAACAATACCAAATATAATAGAGCAACAGTGAGACTTGCTGTGAGGCAGTATCCTATGGTTCTGGTTGAATCTGATCCTTCCATTAATTCTTTAAGTGCTTAAAGCAGCATATTTTCTGTCAAGTAACATAGCTGGGGAAACACTGTGATTGTCAGAGAGAGAAATGATGTATCTGGAGATGTGAGATTTATGCTATTTACTTACATCTTTTGCAGATGAGCCAGAGACTTCAATCCAGGTTTTGGAGAAGAAAGCACAGGAACCCAACATAAACACAATATAAACAACTGCATGAACAGGGTCTTCCAACACTGACGAAAAAGACTCAGGAGGTGACAGGTAATAGCAAAGCCCTCCAACAGGATATGAACGAGCAGGACCTCCAGTTGATGTATCCTGCAGTGAAAATAAGATTCTTTTCAGAAAAACTGGATTAAACCTTCTTGACTGAATAAGTATTACACAATTGCTAGCAACCAATCCAGTCATGTTAGCAAGATTTATGTATAATAGTCATGAATCTTTTGTTGCATTGCAAAGATGTCTGCATGCACTGTAACTATAGTAAAATAAAATACATTATAGCTAATAACAGAAGACAATACACAGGAGCTGGTAATAAGACAAAAAATTCAGTAAGACTCATTATGAAGGCCATCTCACTTGTAAGACTAATGTTATGTAAAAATCAGATACAGTGCAGTTCTATATGTGTCCACTTGGAAGAAAGGACAAGGGAGTTTACCAAGATTTAATAAATCTTGGTATAAAAGCTGCAAGTCTATCTTCTCTAGTGCACCTTTCTAAGCACTTTTAAGTTCATAGTTATGAAGAACTTAGAAGATACTTACAGACCAAGTACCCAGAAGGCTAACCAGTAAGTTACCGCTAAAACGAGCAGAGAGCATCTGAGAAATTACATACAAGTTGGAAACCAGTGCAGACTGAAGGATAATGGGAATATTGGAGGTATAGAATAACTTGATTGGATAAGTATTGTATTGACCACGGTAGCGGGCAGATTTTATAGGGAGGTCCACTCTAAACCCCTGTAGATCACAAAAAGAAAAAAAAATGTAATACAAATAAATATAATTCACAGAGCTACTTGCCCCAAGAGTCAATCAAATCAAAGTTACTTCTAACAAGCAATCTCAAACAACAAAATGTATTTTTTCTCTTTCATAGCCTATACAGGTAGTCCTTGTTTAGCAACCATAATTGGGACTGGCAACTTGGTTGTTAAGCGAAGCGGTCTCTAAATGAAACCGCAACTCTGCTTACGGTCTTACTTTGGCTTTCCTTTGCTTTACAGAGCTGCAAAGGTTGTGCAGGTGGTCCTTGCTTAATGACCAACTCATTCAGTGGCTGTTTGACCTTACAACGGCGCTGAACAAGATACTTACAACCAGTTCTCGAAGTTCTAGCTGTCACAGCGTCCCTGCAGTCATATGAGCACCATTTGTGACCTTCACTGCTGGCTTCCAACAAGCAAAGTCAATTGGGAAGCTGGCAGGAGGTCACAAATGGCAACCATGTGAGGTTGTGCTTAACGACTGTGTTGCTTAGCAATGGAAATTCCAGTCCCAATTGCTGTTGTTAACTGAGGACTACTTGTAAATGCAAGGATTGGTTGTAAAGTTACTTCTTCATCATTGTCGTAACTGTGAATGGTCACTAAATGAGGCAGTTGCTAAACGAGGACTACCTGCATGTAGAAGACATATAACTGAGACTGGAATGATTACAAGGATAAGTCAAAAGCTACACAGAAAATTGGTTTCAGATAGAAAATTGAAACGAATGATACAGGCAATTTCAATCCACATTCAGGAAGCTATGCTGGTAGAATGGAGGCTTAGAACCCTGCAGTAGCTATGGTACATTGTGTATTTTAGAAGAAAGACAGCAAGGTAGTGGCAGAATAATCAAGAAAGCTGAAGACCTGCAATAAATTACAGGTGATAAAGGTGAAAAATAGTGACAAGACTAAGAGAAAGAAAGGTCCAAAGATAAGACAGAGCATGGCCTAATCAAACTTGAAAAGCAGGGAATAAGGATGGGAAGCAAATTTCTACTTCCACTTTAACTTTCTCTACAGTCTCCACTTCTGTTTTCCCACAATATATAGTACTGTGCAAAAGTTTTAGGCAGGTAAATGCTTGTAAAGTAAGAATGCTTTCAAAAACATATATTGTAATTGTTTATGTTTATCAATTTACAA